TGACTATTACAGTACCTGTTTTGGTATTCCTGGTTTCTTTTCAACCAGGACATAATCCTTTCTTTTCTTTTCCAACTCATATTGACGTTGACCAGGAAACTCAGAATACTGAGGCAAACAGCTGTCGTACCTAAATCATTGGGCCGAGTGGATTTATTAATGAAACTGTAACAGTTGAAATACCGCGGCAATGTCAAGAATTATCTAGGCCGAGTGTTCTTAAGTGCACAGCAAACATTGGCATGCAATGCTAACAATGATTATCTAGCTGTGTGCACTCCCGGAAGTGCATTCTAAGATTCTTATCCACACAGATAACACATGGACGTACTGTATAGGCAACTCCTTGTGACCTCTGTTTATGGTAAGACCATTTCGTCTATCCAAGACAACTTTACTGTCTATCTATTTTATAATTATATAATTATAATTATAATTGGTTGGTTCAACTGCTGTAAAAGATTAAAAGGAACTGCAGTAGCTATTGCATGCACATGGTGAGAAGTCATCGTTTCACTATATATATATATATGTTGATCCGTGCTCGATGGCAACGGTACTTGAGATGGAATCGTTTATCATCGTTTTCTTGATTCCACAAGTAAAATTTTGAAGGTGACCGCCCCGTGCAGCACCATATCAGAAATCCACTTTTACTGAATCATACCTGCAAACTGTGAAACGTACACCAGATCTAACCCAGCGCTGAAACGGGAAAATATCAGGTTTGTCTTCTGGTCGATAATGATTAGTGATTTCCACCCATTCCATGAACCATTCCGATGCTACAAATGTTGAATAGCGATGGATTTCCACCTTTGAGATGGGACCAATATCGGGAACTTCGTCACCAAATGGAAATGTATCTACCGCTCCGGCCTCGAAATCATTCCTCCACTTACAATCCAAATAAAGATCGTGTGACCTCCTACCATCTTCACTGATTAACGTAATGTAAATGTGAACATCCGTCCCCATTCCTTTCTTGTCTCCTGTTTTTGTTTTGATTTCATAACCATGTCTTGTACTGTTGCCATTGCCCATTTAAGGCAAACGTTTATAGTCGCTCTATATATTCAAGAGATTTTGCAAAATATTTTCTTAAATAAAAGAGAGGGCGCCATTAATACGTTGGCAATACCTTGCAAGCCATTATCGTACATATTTTTTGGTGTAAAACTGATTGCGTTTGAGGAACCTAACAAGTCAGAAGAATCTTGCCACTTTCGTTTGATAAATGCAAGTTTTGAAAAACAAAATTTTGTAATTTTCCTTGTTGAGTCTACTACACTTTTGCTTGAGTTACAAATGCATACCTATACTATACACGTAAAAATCTCACATCTTGTATAGCAAAACTGCTAACAAGCCGTCAACAAGTTGTATTCGCACTGCTTGTACCAAGTTGTCAACAAGTTTGGAATGAACTGTTAACAACTTGTATAACAACGTATTAACCTTGTTGATTTTATCAGACTTGTTGCAAGGTTGTTCCAATAAGTGCGATACAGTCATGATATATAACAATATTGTTACAATCTTGTGTCGTCAGCCTTGTAACATTCTTGTTATATCATGATTGTTTCAGACTTGTTAGAACAACTTGTAACAAGTCTGATAATACCCGTTCCAAGCTCGTTACAAGTTGTTAACATCTTGTTCCAAACTTGTTACAACAAGCAGTTGGGAACAAGCAGAACACAACTTGTCGACAACTTGTGAACAGATTTGTAACAACTTGTTTGCAGATCTGTAACAACTGGTGTGCGTTTTTACGTGCATCTGTACTTTAAAGCACACTTTATACCGGGTGGCGCAAAAAAAAGTTAACCTGTTTGATTTATTTTAACTTAAAAACTAAAGGAGCTATTACACGTGCATTGCATTCAGTATTGTCTAACTTAAATTTTGATATACGCCCTGTGCAATTTCGTACAATATTCACCGAGAGAGCTGCGTTTAAACTTGAATAAACATTTTGGGAAGTGTCGAGAATTAGCTAAAAACGGCCTGTTAAACTAATTTGATAACCTTTACCATTTTATCGTAAATATTCGTTTCAATGAAGTGAAGTTTAAATTAAAAATGTTTATAGGATGGAGATGCTCTTTTATTTTTGTTTAAGGTCTTTGGGAATGCATAAAAATTAATTTATGAAGCGATTTTGATTAAAAGATTTATTCTAAATATCCAATGACCCTGGGGAATCAAATTCTAATGTTCCAAGAAAGAAACGTCAAGTGTTTTTTTTTTATAAATACGCCTCGTTTAACGAATGACCAAAGAGTTTTGATATGTTTAGAATATGTAAGGGTAAATAATGCTCGTGAGGTTATACCGGCGGCGTTGGGCAGGTCTTTGACAACGAACGTGTACTTTCTGACTATAGTGCGTCTAAGCACAGGTTATTGCTGTATTAAATATTTGATAGGCCGTTTTTGGCTATAATTCTCGACACTTTCAAAAATGTTTACTCAAGTTTAAACGCAGCTCTCTCGGTCAATATTGCACGAAAATGCACAGGGCGTACATCAAAATTTAAGTTAGACAATAATGAATACAATGCACGTAGTTTACATGTAATAGCTCTTTTAGCTTTTAAGTTAAAACAAATCAAACAGGTTAACTTTTTTTTGCGCCACCCGGTAGTTTAGTGTAACTTTAGTTTAAATTTGCACACTAATTTAAATGCAATTATTATATAGCAAGTGTCAAAGTCCAAATTTCCTGCTTGCCGATTGGACAAACCTTATCACGTGCCGGTCCACAAAACGTCCTGTTCACTGCATGCTTTGGGGACGGGGCAACCGGTCAACAACGGAACAATTATTGAACGGTTAATATTTAATAAATTGAAAAGGGTAAGATCGTTTGTTCCCAGAGAAACTTTAATAGAAATGTACAATGCCTTGGTGTGGCCACACTTCAATTACTGTTCAACAATCTGGAACGATGGGTCTTGCTCGATAATTGATAAATTATTTAAATTACAAAAGAGAGCTGCGCGTGTGATAACTGGGGACACGTATACGATGTTTGTTCCACACAAATACTAAATAATCTTAATTGGCTTCCAATTGAGGAACTTTTAAAAAAACGAGAAGTAATAATGACATTTAAAGCATTAACTGGTCGATTACCTCGATATCTTGTAAAACTGTTTACAAGATGCCAAAACAACAATTACAATCTAAGAAGTAATCAAACTAAATTGGCGCTTCCCAAACCTAAGACAAATTTCCTCAAAAGGAGCTTCTCGTATAGAGCTGCGAAATCGTGGAACGAACTTTCAAGTGAAACCATCGAAAATCACAATGAAAATCACAATCTTATCGTTTAAACGGCGATTATATGTACTAGATAAAACATGAGCAGCCGATCTGTATCTGATATACAAACTCGAGCCGAAGGCGAGAGTTTGTATATCAGATACAGATCGGATGCGAATGTTTTATCGTATACTTAAAAAATGACCCATCTTACGAGTTCATTGGCGATTGAAGTAATTTTAAAAATAAACATTGTCTAAGCCGAGAAAATCAAAGCTGAAGTTTATGTAAATCAGGACAAATCTTTATCCGATTTACAAACATTGAGTAAAGATTAA